TTTTGGCACAAAATGATTTTTTAAAAGCATTTTATGGCTCCGGATGTGGTCCGGATGTGGTTGAATTTTGTAAAGCAATGTTTAGCTCCGGTATAATTCCTATAGAGGTCAATCATATGCATATAGTTCTTATCCCGAAGAAGGAAAATCCTAAGGCGTTGATTGTTTGGAGACGCATATCTTTATGCAATGTGGTGTATCGAATTTTTGCTAAGGTGTTGGCAAACCGGATGAAGGGATTATTGCATGAGTGTATCTCGGAGACTCAAAGTGCTTTTGTGCCCGGAAGATCTAGAGTGGATAACATCATGGTAGCTTTTGAAGCTCATCATTATTTGCAAAGGAAGAGACAAGGGAAGGTGGGATACGCGGCACTTAAATTAGATATGAGCAAAGCCTATGATAGAGTGGAATGGTCATTTTTGGAAGATATGTTACAGGCTTTGGGGTTTGGCTTATGGCTTGTGTTTGCTCGTTGACGTATTCGATTCCCTTTGATAATACAGAGTTGGGGCCTATTATTCCAAATAGAGGGTTACGACAGGGAGATCCATTGTCTCCCTATTTATTTCTTATTGTGGCCGAGGGATTGAGTGCTCTTATCAGAAGGTAGGAGGTTGCTGAAAGATTGCATGGAGTAGGTGTAGCACGTGGGGCCCCAAAAATATCACATTTATTTTTTGCCGATGATAGTATCTTATTTTTTCAGGCTACACATGATGAAGCTGCAGTTGTACAAGAAACACTCCATGACTATGAAGAAGCTTCTGGGCAGGTAATAAATTTTAATAAGCCCAAAATATTTTTTAGTGCAAATGTTCATAATAGCTATCGAGATGGTATTTCTGAAATGTTGGGAGTGGGAATGGTAGAGGGTGATGAAAAGTATCTGGGCCTCCCAGTGTGGTTTGGTAAAAGGAAAAAAAGATATTTTGGACTACATAAGACAACGGGTAGTTGATCGATTGCAAAGCTGGAACAACCGGTTTCTGTCTAGGGCGGGAAGAGAGGTCCTTTTGAAAACTGTAATACAAGCTATGCCCATTTATGCCATGAATGTGTTTCTTTTACCAGTTGAATTATGTTATGAGTTAGAGGTATTAATGAACGGTTTTTGGTGGAATGGAACATCTGGAAAGGGTATTAGATGGAGGGATTGGGGGCTCTTTGTAAGCCTAAAAAAGTGGGGGTGGGGGGGGGGGGGTGGGGGGGTCAAATTTCGACGACTTAGAGAGTTTAATATTGCTATGTTGTCAAAACAAGCGTGGAGGCTCTTAACACAACCAACTTCTTTGGCGGGGAAGGTTTTTAAGGAAAAATATTTTCCAAGGGGCACTTTTTTAACATCAAAACTTGGAAGTAGTCCATCGTTTATTTGGAGAAGTTTATATGAAACCCATTCTATTATTAAAGAGGGTTATAAATGGAGATCGGGGATGGGAAATCTATCAATATATGGACAGAGTCGTGGTTGCCGGATGAGTTAAATGCAAGGGTGACTACGGAATGTGTCTTGGGACTGGAAAAGGCGCAGGTGACAGGTTTGCTACTTGAGTCAAAGAACAAATGGGATAGGGATATATTGAGAGATCTATTTAATGATAGGGATATTTTGATGATTTCTAGTATTCCTTTAAGTAAGAGTAAAGGGCCAGATCGAATGTATTGGGGGTGGGAAGAAAATGGCAGATTCTCGGTGAAGAGTTGTTATAGGAAGCTGGTGGGAGAGGTTTCCACTGCAGGCTGGTCAGACTGGACGGTTATGTGGAGATTTCGCCTTCCACCTAAGATTAAACTGTTTTTTGGCAGGTATGTAATGATTATTTGCTGATGAAGAGTCACGACTTCATGTTTTTGCCCAATGCCCGGTTGCTGCTGCAGGTTGGAAGGAAGCCTGCTGGAAGGAGATAGCTGAGTTAGCTAGTGGCTTTCTGGATTGGCTGCAAAGAGTCTTCCAACAGTGTAGGGAGGAGGAGTTGTGTCGCTTCATTGTTGGGTACTGGGCCTAATGGAATGAAAGGAATAAACGCATATGGCAGAGGAGGAGCCTTGCACCGGAGCAGATTTTTCAGCAGGCCTGGAACTTCTATGAAAGTTGGAAAAGGGTACAGAAAGCTATGGATGTATGGGGCAGACAACCAAGAGTGAGTTAGGCTGGATGGCGCCGCCCAGAAGTTGGCCGATTGAAACTAAATATGGATGCTGCGATTGGAGGAGATGTACGAGGCCTGGGATGGGTGGTGCGGGACTGTTTGGGGGAGTTTGTTGCTGGAATAGCTAAACCTTGGGCTGGGAGGTTTTCACCATTGGAAACTGAGTTGCTTTGCATTCGGGAAGCCTTGAGTTGGTGCAAGGAGCAAGGATGGGATTGCCTGGATGTGGAGTTAGATGCACTTCTAGCTATCTCAGAGATTCAAAGGGAGATAGCCAAAATTATATTGGTCTTATTGCAGCAGATATTAGAGATATTGGAGCTAGTTTTACTAGTGTTACTTTCTCTTATATTAGGCGATCTGCGAATAGGGTGGCTCATATGTTAGCTCGAGCAGCCTGTTCTATGTCTGATTGCCAAGTTTGGTTTCATTATCCTCCTGATTACATTTGTAATGTCATGGACCATGACTTAATGAATAAAAGCTAAGTTTATTCTTGTCAAAAAGCATTTTATGGCTAAAATATTAAAAACAAAACATATTGACTATTGATGTAAAATAATTCAGCAATTAGACCAATTTTTCATTGTTTATATTGAAATTAATGATTTATTTCATTGTTTTCATTTTCACGTGTCTGCAATTAATTTTTTTTATATATCACCGCGAGTTACGTTTCTTTACACGCAGGTTACACTACTGTGTTAGTGCGTCAAAAACTACTATCCACACGTGTTTAGCTGTGGACATAACAACTAACAAGTGCTCGTCTTACATTTTCCTTTATTTTGTTTCGTATGCTTTTATAGATTCTTTTGGGACTCTCACCTTACCTTTTGCTTAACTTTGTTTTACTATTTTTTTATATTTCTTCACACTTTTCATGAACTAACTCAATTTTTCTTTTTGATAGGGAACTAACTCGTTTTTTTTATTACAATTTTTATACAACATTTGGTACCTCTTTTAAGAGTCATTTTGGTAACATTGAAATTGGTTGAATTGACGGATTCTGCTAAAGCTTATGAAATTCTGGATGAAGTGGCTGTATTGGCCAATTCTGCTGATTTATGAAAAAAATTATATTTAAAATTTGTTTTATAAATTAAATATAAATATATATGAAAAATATCGAAAATGATCATTTGCAGTTACTTCAGCCAATACAGCCATAAAAGTAATTTCAACTTTCTTTTCTTATTATTACAAAATTCAGCGCGTGAAATCAAATGTTACATGTTTGGTGAAAAAGCTGACTGATAAGTGTGATAAGCTGAAAAACATGATCACAAACGAGCTCTAAATCGTATGAGTGCAAAACACTAAAAACATAATCTAATTGAAGAATGATAAAATGAAAATGAAAGATTTTAGACAACTTGTTTCGTTAAGTATGAATATTTTTAGATTATTTTTTTTTTAAGAAAATATTTTAAGATTATTAAAAAATCGTTTCTCACAAAATGAGATAAAGACATTAAAAGTTTAGGTGTATTCAACATAGACTTTTAAAAGTCTAAAAAGTTCAGGTGTATCCAATATAGACTTTTAAAAGTTTCTAAACGTCTAGACAAATTCAACTTCTGTTCATTTTTATTGACTTCTAAACCATGGGTTCTCATGGGTTTTTAACTGATTTTTAATACATTAATTCTCTGTAATTGTCTCTTCTCCTTATCAAAGATGTACGCTGACTTTTTGGTTGTCTTCTACTCGTCACAAGTATACATAAATATGGTTGTAGAATAACACTATATTTGGCTAAATATTTACCAGAAATCACAAACCGGTCAATACATCCTTGACTAGTACTGTCCGGATCGAGAGATGGACACTAAGATCATCTCAACATGCAATATTTGAAAATTAAACTATGAATTTGTATTGTTTTATGATAAAAAATAGTTGAACAAGAAGATTCTGCACTAATATTGACACATAGGATAAACTAAACAAACATGATTTCTTTTATATGGTATTATGAAGAAAAACACGGGGGCGAGATCGGTTCAGTTTTTGAAAGAAAATTAGGAACCATTTGAAGAAACGTTAATCCAATATCTATTCGGTTCTTGAAGTTTCAGAAGAACCGATATAAAAATTAATAGTATTATATCGGTGCAATTCTGGTATGTTGTCGCTTAGCCATTATCTATTGTTGTGTTTTATCGTTAAACTGCTAAATATAAAAATTTCAATTCAGATTAATAAGTATTTAACTGTAAATAAGAATAAAAAAGAAACAAGCTAAAAAAGAAAAGAAAACAATTATTAAGAAGAAACTCTCGACTGCACCTATGCTCATACCACAATAGTATTGAGTGTAACATTTGTGTAACGATTAGTGTTCTTACTCACTTAGTTGTGCAAAATAACAAGTGATCATAAAAAGACCTAGTTTGTTGAGCATTCTCGATACTTTGTGTTTTGTTACTAATAACAATAAATTTGCATGCTTATGGTTCATTTATTCTTATAGAACTTTGTGTTGCTAGATGAATTACAATTGTTTCATTTATTTTTTTAATTGTTTCTTATCATACTATATAGAGAAGATTAATCACGATAGGACTAAAACATACTCCGTAGCATTCTTCCCAAAGTACCATCATATGTTTGATTTGCTAAATATTATATTTATACCCCTAATTTATTTAATTAATATAATTAAGTGTCTCTTAGTGAATGGGCTCGAATTACTACCACTCGGCCTTGCATACCGGCTGGAGAGCTTGAGTGTAGAGCCCAATAATACATGCAACTCGACCCGCTCGATACCCTAGCTACCCGGCAGTGTGCTAGTACTTAATCGCAACCGCTTGGCAATCCATCTTCATCTTCTCATCCATCAATTTCGTCAGTTTCCTCCTCCGATCCAGTCTCTTCAGAGATGTTTGGTTATTTCAGTCGCTATGCCGTTGTAAACTTTTCGGACGAATTGAACGCCATTTTTTATGAAGGTTGGTGATGATGATGGTGCTTCTTATATTTCTGACACCTCTTGTATGAGGGGAGCCGTCAAAAGCTCTTCGTTGAGCAGATTAAGCAACAATCTGAACCTCTTATTATTATTTTTTTTTTTTATACTTTCTGTCAATTTTGATTAAATTCCAGACCACTTTCGAGCAGAAATTCAGGCAGCCCCCTTTCATAGAATAATAAATAGGAAGGGAGGTGTTTATCTGCTCGTACATCAAATCATTCTTTTGCTCTTCAGATTTGCTGAGATTTCCTATCTTTGAAGCTGGTCTAGTAAGCATTAGAACATTAATCATTAATATATTTCGTTGTAATGTTTCGCACATTTTGCATATTTTTTTATTACTTTTTTCTAAAGCAGCTCAGCACCAAACCATTGTTGTTGGAGAAACGCCGTTATACAATTGATAATTTGTTAAGCAATCTGGCATCGAGAATTTATTAAGCAATGAGAACTTGCATTTTACTATCTAGAATTTGTACATATAATTAACGAGGCGGAGAACACGCGATCTGGTGGAAAACTAATTTCGAAAATATTACTGCGTAAAACATGACCTTCAAAGTTAATGTTTTAATGTATTCTTAAAGTAAAATGTATTATTTGTAATGTTTTACATTGAGCAAAGAAGTCATTTGAGCGAAAAAGCACGGGCACAAATTATGGCTTATAATGACGTTTGGGACATAAAGCATTGCTGGAGATCCATGCACACAAAGATGGCTTTCGTCTTTTGTGTTTTCTCTAAAGGTGATTTCATCAACTGTAAACTTCGACTCCAAAACTGTTCTGGGCATCCAATGAAACACTGGTTTTGTCGTCGACTTTTCACCGATTAAATCATTCACGTGACTTTTTTTTTTTTTTTTTTTTGAGGAACCCGCAGGCCGCAACAACTTGTTTAGAAAACTCTATTTGCCAAAAGAAATATCTGGCTGTAGTCACTAAAAGCCTTTGTCATTCAACTTGAGCAAATGCAATTGTTAAGTCATCACATATACTACAGAAATATGATAAACTACTAGTAGTGTTTACATCTGAATGTGTTTGAGATTAGGCGACTAAGCTTAGTGTTGGAGAGTTGGACTCTGTCTCCTTGTGGCTGGTGGGATGCATCTGTTATAAGACTACTACTACTACTAATATCGATTCCAGTCTCTGTTTCCAGTGCTTGGATCTCATTTGGACTCGTTATAATCTGATCAAAACACACGTATCTCCCGTGCGCTGTTCCATTCATCTCCTCGTACACCCTTACATGAGCCTTGGCTAATGTGTTTACATCCACTGTTGCCAGTACCCCTCTCTCACACATCTCTCTAGCTCCTGAGTTAATCAACCAAAAAACATTAACCCAAATCTTTAGTACTACGTACAATTCAGTAAAGGTATGCTTAGGAGTTTGAAGGGAAAGGGATGAATGTTTCAAAGCTTAGCCATGGAAAGGGAAGAGAAAGCTAAAAAGAGTAAATCATTCTTCTTGTTTGAGAGTAACAAATTTGAAAAGAAAGAAGTTATGATACTTTTTTTTGGATGAAAAGAAGTTATGCTGCTTATGAATGAGTTATAATTAAAATGATTTAACATATTTGTCAACTCCACAACATAAAAGGGAGGGTAAAAAACTCTAGTCAACCTTCCCCTCCCTTGAACACCCAACACCCAAGCATTCCTCAAGGGTCTCGTTGGATCCAAAAAGGTGAAGCAGAGAAGAAAGTGAGAAAAAAAGAAATAGACATAAAGAATACCCTCCCACCTCATATATTCATTTGATATTTGTTCAGAAATCTAAGTGCAACCTGATAATATTGGACTTTGCAGTTTGCACTTTATTTCCCCTAAAAGGTTTTTCCTTTGCACCTCATTCATGATTTTTTTTTACAAGATGTTGAACGATGTGGTGCAAAGTGTAAAAATTTTGAAAATGATAATCAAAATTCATTCAAATATCTTTGGTGAAAAAGAAAATACCTTTGAGATATGCAATGGTGGATGTTGGGTTCCTGTTACAGTACTCGGGGCCAGTGATAAGACCTGGGCAAATTGTGGTGAGCTTCAATCCTGCCTCCCTTGCTATTTCCCACGCTGCCCTTTCCGCCTTTAGCTTACCCAATGCATACCAAAGCTGTGTTTACATTTTGATGGTTAAGGCTATGATCGACAAAACCGATAACAAGTTTGACCCCGGTTAATTTGAGTTTGTTCGGTTCACTCATACTAACCAAGAAGCTACTTGATCTCTACCTTTGGGTGGGAAAGTTGGTTGGAGGTGGGAAAATGCTCTCCTTGTTTATTTTTATTACTCCGTATTATTTTTTTTAACAAATGCTCTCCCTGGTTTTAAAGAAGTAATAACATTTTTTCCCTATAATTTTTACAAGGAAAAAAATTTAATCCCTAGGTAAACAGTAATGGTGTAATAATTTCCTTAAAATTGCGTGGACAACTTATAGTGGAGAAGGAACTAGGAGTCCAAACTATTTGGATTCCTAATTTAATACATTGGGACAATATATAATGGGGCTAAAAATGAAAATGAGCATGGAGAGGAAGGCGAAAAAGAGTTACTTTATCAGTTGTATAATATCAACATAAAAAATATAAAGCTTTAAAAAACATGAAATATGAATTTTTAATCAATGATGCCTCCATAAATAACCAACATTTACATGATCCATTTTTTAAATTAATCGAAGAAGCAATAATTTAACATCAAAATGGGTGTATTTTTATTTCAGAGTTATTCAGAAAAAATCACAGAATACATTGCTTATACTAATTTAGTTAATGCTTTACTAATATGATATATTAAAATATATGTTAGTGGATATTACTAACGGTACTACAGTGTAGGAAAAACCTGTATTGAGGTGCCGATCCAACGTTTCATATGAACAGAGTTCATATTTAAGTGTTTCATATCAACTCGTTATAGCGCATGTTTCGATAGAGTAACTAAGGCAATAGAACTAAAGTAGCTAAGTACTGATGTGTTGTTGTATACATACTCTTTCCGTCTCGGAAAAGTGAAAACATACTTTCTCCATCCCTTTTTAGTTAGAATCTTTGATTTTTCTAGTCAATGATGCAAAACTTTGATTGATAAAATGTTTATATACGTAAGTAAATATATTATGAAAATTATATAAATATGTTTATTGTTAAAGATACTATTAATGTATAAAACTTATAAATTTTGCGGAGTATAGTAAATAACTAAATATAATGATTGATCAAAGTTTACTATTATTGAATGAGAAAGTAAACAATATGTTGATATTTGTAGAAAGAATGCTTAAATTACTTCAAGTACATACTTATTGATTTAAATAGAAAAGTGGTATGTGATGGTTAACTAAGAAAAATTGATAAAGTTTTTTAGATTTCGATAACATAAAATGATTGATAAAGCTTGCTAAAAAAAAGATGGATAAAGTACCTTTTTAGTGAGACACAAGGACTCATCACTCCAGCTGTGATGATCAATTTTGTGGTTAAGAAGAGTAGTGCCAGTGTGGTGTTGCCATACACATGCTAGAAGAGAGGAGGTGAGCACACAATATCTAACCGACACTGTACGTCCACATGCCTCCACAACATTGTTGCTTCGCATCACTTCCACTTCAACCATTGATTTCTACATTCATTAGTACCAAAACATCAATAATCATTCATTCATTCATATTTAAAGTGGACTTCTAATGGAGGAGCAAAAATAAAGAATGGTAAATTGGTTACGGAGATGTCTCTACAGTAGTCCTATGATTCCTTATTTTCCTCAAAATTTTCCAATTTACTCGTAGTATAATACGAAGTAAGATAAAATTCTGTATGAAACTTGGAATGGAAGGCAGAAAACAAAAGGTGTCCATCATCTAGTATAGTATTCTGGCTCCTACGGTTCTGACATCCTATCATACTTTTGTTGTAACGCGTTAATTTTTACATTATTCACATTTCTTTATTTTTTTATATACTAGTAATATTTATTAATGTATTATAGATTTAGTTAATTGTAAAATATTAATCATTCCGTTCCAAATTGTAAGTCATTTTACTGTTTACGATGTTTGATCAATTATAAAGCAAATTGATCCTTGTCAACACTCAAATTAGTTTTAGAAACTAAAATTTACAAAATCAGAAACCACATTAAATCTGCTACAAAACATGTAAAAAGAATAATTCAAATTTCATAAAATTTTGATATATAAAGTAAGAGATTAAGAATGCTTTGTGTTGACCAAGTGAATATGAAATGGGACTGAGGGAGTATTAAATTTCTCTTGTTTTATATATCAAAATCTCTTTTTTTTTTTAATACTAAATACGTTTTTCTCATATTAAAAGTTGCTTTGCATTGTTGGATTAGTTCAATTATCTAAAAAACCTTGTTACATTCATTAAAACTTGAATATAAGGAAAAATGTCATTTCCCTTCATTTTAGACTAAATACTAACGTTTTTTTAATTTATAAAGACTAAAAAAAAGACTAAAAACTAACTCATGCATTAGTTTTCTACTCCGAATTAAAAAACTATTCTGCAAGTGTAGTTAAAACAATTTGGGAAAACTGTCAAATAAGCCCCCTTACAACCCCAAATTAGTCAATTAAACCCCTCAACTAAAAGAACATCCAATCAAACCCATGAACTCAAATAAAATTTTCAAATAGGGTTTTTAGCCTGTAACCTTCCGGTTCTCTGGTGAGTTCTGCCTATGTGGCTTTTAATTTTGATTTTTCTTTTTCTTTTTTTGTTTCCCGTCCAATTTTCTTTCGTTCCCAGTCTTTGTGTCTATCTTTTTTTTTAGTCTTTCTCTTTCTCCATGGAAGATCACAGGTGACCGGCAACTATGAAGATGGCATGGCACGAGCCACTTGGTGACCAAATCCGTGCCCCTGCTGCCCAACGCACAACTCATCTGCGGACTGCGGCGACAATTTTTCTTTCTCTTTCGCCATTGAAGAAGACAACTAGTGACTAGCGGTTATGAAGATGGCACCGGCCACTCGGCCAGTCGGTGACCAAATCTGTGCCCCTGCCGCCCAACGCACAATTCATCTCCGGCTAGTGTCTTTCTTTCTGTCTCTTTCTTTTTCCCCATTGACGAAGACCACCGACGAACAACGGGTGTTAAGATGGCACCGGCCGGTGGCGGACCAGATCTGTGGTCATAGTTAGATGGTGTAAATTCACCGTGTCAAATCTGTATTCACGTTGGCTTTAAATAGCCATGCTTACAATAGGTTACAACAATTGTGATCCGTATAGTTCGGTAACTAATAACCGTATACATGAGGATAAATATGAATGATATTAACTAGGTACAATGTATGTGCAGATAAGTGTAATGGAGCCGTGTATACTGCATATGTCCAACTAATCATGCGTAGAGTATGGGATACTCTAACACGCCCCCGCAGTCTTAGCGGGCAAGGAGCAAACGCTAAGACTGTCCCGAAATTCAGTGAATAAACACCGCGGGAGCCCTTTAGTGAAAATGTCTGCATATTGAAAACGTGAAGGAACATGAAGAACACGAATGCTGCCACGGGCGACATGTTCACGTACAAAATGGATATCCATCTTGTAACACCGTCCCCAAATATATTTACTTTTATGTAAATAATGTATTGAACCTTATTAAATGATTAATGAATTTACGAAGTTGTAAATTTTTATTATTTCTTTCGCGTGAATAGTAAATTGCACGTGGGACCCACACCGGGAGCGAGGGCCGCCCGACTGTCCCGAGACCATATATTTTATTCATCTTGGTCTAGATAATAAATATATAGTGGTGTATATTTCATTTGGGCCATGGAAAGGCCCGGAGTTGACCGATTGGTCAAGAGAAGCCCAAATTACCGGTACTGGTAATTTATCAGATAACAGCCCGAACTGAATTTCGGAGGCTTATAAATTAAAGTTGGGGGATGTATATTCATTATACATGTAATAATGAGTAAGAGCACATAATATATTTTATTTGACCCGATAAAATAAAATATATTTAAAACAGTCCGAAAAATACAACTTTCGGGACCGATTGTACACATCGGGACACAAAGGGATGACCTCCCACATGAGTGGGGGCCATCCCACGTTTTATTCAGCTCAAATGTGACCCTTGGGGGCTACAAAGACAAGGGAAGGTGGGAGGAGGGTCAACCATGAGGTAGGATGGGACCCTTTCCCCACATAATTGGTGAGATGAGCCAAAAAGGCCATCCTATCACCCCCTCACCCCATTAGCTCGACCAGGCCACCCAAGGGAGAGAAGAAGAGCTTCCAAACTCACCTCCATTGCTGCAAATTCGAGCTCAAGCTCTAGTGGTCCAAGGAGGAGGATTTAAGAAGGCAAAAGTTAGGAAAAGTGTGAATAATTAAGGTAATGACCTTATTATAACTTCTCCTTTATTTTTCTTCCACCACATGAAGTATATATCATATGAAGGACCTTTAGTATGGTTCCATATGTTATAAGTATGGATTCATGGGTTGGAAGGTGGTTCTACGTCCAAAAACGGACTTAGAAGCCAAAATGACCGGTTCACCGGAAAATAACCTTTTAGAGGTTATTTGTATTAATATGAGTTTTATGATTATAAAACCTTGTTAGGCACTTGTAAAGGGTATTTCAAGTGATTTCACAAAGTTGGAAAAGTCGCCGGAATTGTCGCCGGAGTTGACCAAAAGTCGCCGGAGTTTCACCGGAGTTCAACCAAGAAGGGTAGAACTTCTTAACGCTAGTTCAAGGTGAGTGGACGGCTTAATATCTTATAACTTTTGGGTTAATTATGAGATTACCTAAATAAATGTTATATGTGTTCATAATGATGTTTAAAAGATATTTAAACATGTGATTAGCCAACATTATTAAGTTGTATGAAAAGAATTAATTGTTTATGCAGGAAATATGATATGAGGAATTGTATAAAATGCATATTAGCTTGAAGTGTAAAAGAAGCACAAATGAGTATTATTAACTTAATTATATGATGATTAAGTTGATAGGTACAAGGCTTGAATTGGCGGTCAACGACAACGTTGACCGATGGATAATGGATTAGTTAATATCGGTTGATATTAGTTAATTATACATTTATATAATTGCATGGCTTTGCATGGATTGTGATACATAAGCCTTATGTATTGAATTAGTTATGAATGACTAAATATGATATAGACCCTATCTAGTGTGATATGTGGTAAGTCATAGGTCGGGTGGAGTACCCAAGGATCGGGCGGTTATCCTCAAAACTCGGTTATATAGGGTGGAGTACCCAAGGATCGGGCGGTATCCTCAAAACTCGGTTATATAGGGTGGAGTACCCAAGGATCGGGCGGTTATCCTCAAAACTCGGTTATATAGGGTGGAGTACCCAAGGATCGGGCGGTTATCCTCAAAACTCGGTTATAGGGTGGAGTACCCAAGGATCGGGTGTGTATCCTCAAAACTCATAGATTACATATAATGATCTAGGACCGGGCGGTGTCCTTATGATAATTTACTTGAACAAGGAGGAGTTCTATACACTCATAGGCATATGGGTGGGTTGGGGTTTTTAGTCAAGAATATTGACTATTACTATTTTTCCCAAATAAACTGGTGATCTACGGATCGGATATTTTTCCAAGTATATATATACTATTAAGTATTTCATAACTTGGGGGAAAGACTATTTATATAAGTATCACCCTATGTTTGGGTCTTATACTTGAAACGCTAGTTATTCTATATTTAGCCTGCTACTCGCTCGGTACTTGTACTGACCCCTTCGGGGGGCCCCACCATTTTCAGGTTGAAGCTAGGGCTTGCTACCTGCACCTCTCTTACGGGTGATATCGACTCAGGAAGACGTGGTTCGTGCTTCCTTATTTTCTTTCAAACTACCGAACACTTGCTCATGGATATTTGTTCTACTATAAACTATTTTTGGGGCTTGCATGCCCATGTTGTTGGCCGGTTGTGGCTTATGACTTACCGTTGAATATTTCCGCTATTCATTGGTGTAATGTGATGTTGTTATGTATGTTTACTACTGAGTATGGATGGATTATATTCTCGAACGCCTGGTGTAATTAAGTGAGGTTGACTCGCGGGTGACGTCACTTGGTTATACGGCGGTTGTACACGCGCTTGGATTGCGGTCTGGGGCGTGACAAATAAGTGGTATCAGAGCCATCTCAGTTCTAAACTATATAATCAACCTCTCACATGAGATTTTACGAAAGAGTTTTTACCGAAAACCATGAGCATTGGATTTTGACGTTATGGGACTATTGGAGCCTAAGTTGCAAGGCCTCTAATTGTTAAGACGGTACCCTTAACAATTGGTATGGTGGTGACTTAGACCAATACGTGTCTGTAACGTTCTTCCGTCAATTGACATTTATAGGAGTCTAATGACTCATCCATATTTCTTTCAGAAATGGAGGGCAGGCGAATGCGGACTAGGAACAATCCGAGGGGGCAGGCGCCGGTAACATCCCAAAGGGGAAGCCGGGCTGCATCTCGGGGTTCAAGAGGAGGCCGTGGAGGCCGTGGAGGTCATCAAGCTCAAACTGTGAGTGATGGCCATGTAAGCTCGGTGTATGAAACCAACACCGAGGACTATGACTCTACGTATGTTCCTGAGACAGAGCATGAGGAGACCCCATATGATGGGGGTGACACATACACCGATGAGGACAATGATGAAAGTGATGCCCGCTTCGCCCAAATGGGTGAATTACTTGAGTGGTATCAAAAGGAGAAACAGAGGAGAGACCTTAGGCGCCAAGCGAGGCGTGGCTCTCGTGGTGGTTCGGGTCAAGGGAGCCGGGGAGCTTCCGTGGCCACCCCAGCGGCGTCACAAGGTGGGCGTGAAGGAGGTTTTGTTGTGAGAATCTCCAAGTACCTCAAGGAGGCTAGGGCCTTGGGGTGTAGGTCCTTTGACGGCACCGGTGACATTACCGTTGCCGCCGATTGGATTAAGAAGGTGAAGGATGCATCAAGAGACATGCAAATCACACCGGACGTGAAGTTGACTGTCGCTTCACGGCTACTTGAAGGGATAGCCTCTACGTGGTGGGAGAGCGTGGAAGGGAAGTACCATGGGGAAATAACATGGGCGGACTTTGAGCTAGAGTTCTATGCTCAATACTACTCCGAGTACGAGGTGAATGTGAAACGGAGAGAGTACACTAACCTCAAACAGAAAGATGGCGGCACGGTTAAGCAGCTGGAACAAGAGTTTAGAACCTTGGCGAGGTTCTTGCCAGAGTACGCGGTTGATGAGAACCGCATGACGGAGCACTTCTGGGATGCATTACTCTTGGACATCCGCGACCGAGCTACATACTCTCGCCACATGTCATTTAGCGAGGTGGTGGAACAGGGCCTTCTTGGAGAGGCCCAGTGGAATGAGAGGAAAGCAAGGGACGCCGAAGAGGCGAAGAAGAGGAAGTGGAATAATTCGGGGCCACCCGATCATTCTCGAAGAAACAACCACGGGGGTGGTGGTGGTGGCGGTGGTTCATTCAAGGCGCCGGCCCCACCGGCAAAGAAGAACAGGGATGCGAGGTGGCACGGACCTAGGCCACAGAACTCGGGGCCACCTAGATGTCCCAATTGCTCAAAACAACACTTTGGGAAGTGCAATGAACCACCGAGGTGTTTTAAGTGCGGGAATGCGGGCCATATGAAGGCCAATTGCCCTCAATTGATGCAAGAGAGTGCCTCGGGAGCCGGGGGAGGGACCATGACGGGAAGGAACCGTGCGGGACCGTCAAACGGCGGCACGGGAAGAGGCGGCGCATCCACAAGTCATGCCGCATCCGTCAACCAAGGTGGGACCCAAGCCCGAGTGTACGCGATGACCGAGGCGGATGCGAGAGCAAACCCGGACTCCGTTGCAGGTAATACACGTATTCCCATGTATTTCTAGGCTTACTTTGATCATATACGTCGTTGAGATTGAGTGCGGGCCACCCCGGGGTCGAACCGGGTGAGTTAGGCCAAATCGGACTGGAAACAGCCACTGCTGGCCAGGCACGCCCGCAGGCACGCCGTGCCTGGCGTCGTGCCTGGAGGGCAGTGGCACCCGAAGAGAAAGAAAAAAAAAAAAAAAAAAAATTTGGGCCAGGCACGGCCGCAGGCACGCCGTGCCTGGCGTCGTGCCTGGAAGGCAGTGTCGCCCCGAAGGAATTCGGCCAGGCACGGCCGCAGGCACGCCGTGCCTGGCACCGTGCCTGGGAGGCAGTGTTGAACAGGAAGGATCCGATGCACGCACGGCCGTGCGTGCCACCCAGGCACGCCGTGCGTGGACCCCAGAACCCGGAAATCGGATTTTTCCGCCCCGTTCTTCTACGTTTGGACTCCCGTTTGATTCCAAACATTAGTATGAGCCTAATAACCTCCTAAAGATGTGTAAAAACATTAGAAAATGTATCTTACATGGTGTATAAATGTAGGAACATTAAAGATCAATGGTAGGTGTGCGAGGATCCTCATCGATACCGGGGCACAACGCTCATTTGTGAGTGAGGCGTTCGCCGAGGGCTTTGACGTGCCATTGACACCTATGACTCAAACGTTGCTAGTCTCCACACCGTTAGGAGACGACGTGGAGAGAAATCATTACTATCCGTCGTGTGAGGTAGAAGTGACGGGTCAACCTTTGACTTGTGATTTCGTACCTCTAAGCATGTTGGAGTTTGATGCAATCCTAGGAATGGATTGGCTCGAGAAACACCATGCCCGGGTAGATTGCTACACCAAGGTGTTGGAGCTCGAGGATGATCAAGGAAACACGCTATGTTTCGAAGGAGATCGGGGGAAATCAATTGCCTGTCTCATATCCGTGATGAGGGCACGGAAGATGATGAGGAAGGGATGCCACGCGTACCTTGCCTACGTGGTGGACGATACCAAGAAGGAAGTCGACATCAAAGATGTACGGGTCGTGTGCAAGTACCCGGATGTCTTTCCCAAAGACCTACCGGGGCTTCCACCCGATAGAGAGATTGAATTTGTAATTGAAGTGGAGCCGGGAACCAAACCCATTTCGATTCCTCCTTATCGAATGGCACCGGCCGAACTTCAAGAGTTGAAGGTCCAACTACAAGAATTATTGGACAACGGATTCATCAGACCCAGTCATTCACCGTGGGGGGCACCCGTACTCTTCGTGAAGAAGAAGGATGGTACACTAAGAATGTGTATTGACTACCGACAATTGAACAAGGTCACAATCAAGAACAGGTATCCCTTACCGAGGATTGATGACTTGTTTGACCAACTTCGGGGGGCAATAGTGTTCTCGAAGATTGATTTGAGGTCGGGGTATCATCAGTTGAAGATCAAGGAGAGCGACATACCTAAGAGTGCATTCCGCACTAGGTATGGTCATTACGAGTTCCTTGTAATGTCATTTGGTTTAACCAACGCACCGGCGGCATTCATGGACTTGATGAACCGGGTGTTTAGTGAATACTTAGATCAATTTGTGATAGTATTCATTGATGATATCTTGATATACTCCAAGAGTGAGGAGGAGCACGAGCATCATTTGGGGCTTATACTTGATCGGCTAAGGGAAAAGCAACTCTTTGCCAAGTTCTCTAAATGCGAATTTTGGCTCAAGGAGATTGGTTTTCTCGGTCACGTCATATCCGGTTCGGGCGTAGCTGTGGATAACGCCAAGATAAAAGCTATCATGGATTGGGAGAGACCCAAGAATGTGAAAGAGATACGTAGTTTCCTTGGCTTAGCGGGATACTATCGTAAATTTGTTGAAAAATTCTCCGTATTGGCGTCTCCATTAACGAAGCTCACAAAGAAAGGGGCCAAGTTCATATGGGACGACAAGTGTGAAAAAGGGTTCCTTGAACTGAAGAAACGACTTACCGAAGCACCAGTCCTTGCCCTACCCATACAGGGGATAGGGTATGACATTTACAGCGATGCTAGCATCCAAGGGCTTGGATGTGTACTAATGCAAAACGGTAAGGTGATTGCCTATGCTTCTAGGCAATTGAGAAAACACGAGGTGAACTACCCTACTCACGACCTAGAGTTGGGGGCGGTAGTGTTTGCACTGAAGATTTGGAGGCATTATCTCTACGGGGAGACATGCCACATTTTTACTGATCATAAGAGTTTGAAGTATGTATTCACTCAGAAAGAGTTGAATATGAGACAAAGGAGATGGATGGAGTTGATCAAGGACTATGATTTGATCATCGACTATCATCCCGGAAAGGCCAACGTGGTGGCCGATGCGCTAAGCAGGAAGAGTACGTCGGGGACGTTACTCACATGTCTACGGGCATTGAGGGCGCGCGTGGAGGTATCCACATGCGGGGCTCTCATTGCTAGATTTGAGGTTAGGCCCACACTACTGAGTGAGATCAGTAGATGTCAGGCCATTGACGGGGAATGTCAGAAGATCCGTGAACGGATCCTTGAGGGGCCCGTTGATGACTTTCGGGTACGTGATGATGGTCTTTTATTATTTAAGGATCGTGTGTGCGTACCAAAGAATGAGGAGCTCCAGAAGGCTATACTTGAGGAGGCTCATTCTTCAGCATATGCCATGCATCCAGGGGGTACTAAGATGTACCGAGATCTGAAGGAAAGTTACTGGTGGTCAGGTATGAAGAAGGATATTGCAGAGTTTGTGAGTCGATGCCTTACTTGCCAGCAAGTTAAGGCAGAGCATCAGCACCCAGCAGGGCTCTTACAACCACTCACCATCCCAGAGTGGAAGTGGGAGCACGTGACCATGGACTTCGTGGTGGGGCTACCACGAACAGTGAACAACTATGATGCAGTTTGGGTAGTGGTTGATAGGCTCACCAAGAGTGCACACTTTTTGCCTATCAACATTACTTATCCTCTTGAAAGACTGGCCAAGCTATATACGGAGGAGATTGTGAGATTACATGGAGTCCCAATATCCATTGTCTCGGATAGGGATCCACGATTCACATCCCGATTTTGGCCAAAGTTTCAGGCATCTTTGGGAACTAAACTGAAGTTTAGCACAGCTTTTCACCCACAGACCGATGGACAGTCCGAGCGGGTGATACAGATTCTGGAAGACATGCTTAGGGCATGTGCTTTGGAGTTCCAGGGAAGTTGGGACAAGCATTTGGCCCTAGTGGAGTTTGCTTATAACAACAGTTATCAAGCAAGTATCGGCATGCCTCCATATGAGGCATTGTATGGGAGAAAATGCAGAACACCATTGTGTTGGGACGAGGTTGGCGAGGCCAAACTCGAAGGAGTGGAACTAGTCGAGATCACCAAGGCCAAGGTGAGGGTCATTCGAGATAGACTGAAGGCCGCTCAGGACCGACAGAAGAGTTACGCTGATAAACGGCGGAGACCGTTGGAGTTCGAAGTCGGTGATGAGGTCTTCCTAAAGATTTCTCCTTGGAAGGGCATCATCCGATTCGTATCGAGGGGAAAGCTTAACCCCCGATACGTTGGTCCATTTGAGATCCTTGAAAGGATTGGAGCCGTGGCTTACCGTCTCAAGTTGACGCCTGAACTTGAGAAGATACATGACGTGTTTCATGTATCAATGCTCAAGAAGTACATACGAGACCCATCTCATATTCTTGAGAAACCACCGGTAGAGATCCGTGAGGATTTGCAATATGCGGTGGAACCAGTGAAGATTGTTGGTCAACAAGTGAAGAAGCTTAGGAATAAGGAGATTCCTATGGTAAAGGTTCTTTGGAGGAGTGATCGAGTCGAAGAAGAAACTTGGGAGACCGAGGTCTCCATGAGGGAGCAATACCCATTTCTTTTCGATTAGATACTTAGATTTCGGGGACGAAATCCCAAATAAGGGGGGGTGAACTTGTAACACCGTCCCCAAATATATTTACTTTTATGTAAATAATGTATTGAACCTTATTAAATGATTAATGAATTTACGAAGTTGTAAATTTTTATTATTTCTTTCGCGTGAATAGTAAATTGCACGTGGGACCCACACCGGGAGCGAGGGCCGCCCGACTGTCCCGAGACCATATATTTTATTCATCTTGGTCTAGATAATAAATATATAGTGGTGTATATTTCATTTGGGCCATGGAAAGGCCCGGAGTTGACCGATTGGTCAAGAGAAGCCCAAATTACCGGTACTGGTAATTTATCAGATAACAGCCCGAACTGAATTTCGGAGGCTTATAAATTAAAGTTGGGGGATGTATATTCATTATACATGTAATAATGAGTAAGAGCACATAATATATTTTATTTGACCCGATAAAATAAAATATATTTAAAACAGTCCGAAAAATACAACTTTCGGGACCGATTGTACACATCGGGACACAAAGGGATGACCTCCCACATGAGTGGGGGCCATCCCACGTTTTATTCAGCTCAAATGTGACCCTTGGGGGCTACAAAGACAAGGGAAGGTGGGAGGAGGGTCAACCATGAGGTAGGATGGGACCCTTTCCCCACATAATTGGTGAGATGAGCCAAAAAGGCCATCCTATCACCCCCTCACCCCATTAGCTCGACCAGGCCACCCAAGGGAGAGAAGAAGAGCTTCCAAACTCACCTCCATTGCTGCAAATTCGAGCTCAAGCTCTAGTGGTCCAAGGAGGAGGATTTAAGAAGGCAAAAGTTAGGAAAAGTGTGAATAATTAAGGTAATGACCTTATTATAACTTCTCCTTTATTTTTCTTCCACCACATGAAGTATATATCATATGAAGGACCTTTAGTATGGTTCCATATGTTATAAGTATGGATTCATGGGTTGGAAGGTGGTTCTACGTCCAAAAACGGACTTAGAAGCCAAAATGACCGGTTCACCGGAAAATAACCTTTTAGAGGTTATTTGTATTAATATGAGTTTTATGATTATAAAACCTTGTTAGGCACTTGTAAAGGGTATTTCAAGTGATTTCACAAAGTTGGAAAAGTCGCCGGAATTGTCGCCGGAGTTGACCAAAAGTCGCCGGAGTTTCACCGGAGTTCAACCAAGAAGGGTAGAACTTCTTAACGCTAGTTCAAGGTGAGTGGACGGCTTAATATCTTATAACTTTTGGGTTAATTATGAGATTACCTAAATAAATGTTATATGTGTTCATAATGATGTTTAAAAGATATTTAAACATGTGATTAGCCAACATTATTAAGTTGTATGAAAAGAATTAATTGTTTATGCAGGAAATATGATATGAGGAATTGTATAAAATGCATATTAGCTTGAAGTGTAAAAGAAGCACAAATGAGTATTATTAACTTAATTATATGATGATTAAGTTGATAGGTACAAGGCTTGAATTGGCGGTCAACGACAACGTTGACCGATGGATAATGGATTAGTTAATATCGGTTGATATTAGTTAATTATACATTTATATAATTGCATGGCTTTGCATGGATTGTGATACATAAGCCTTATGTATTGAATTAGTTATGAATGACTAAATATGATATAGACCCTATCTAGTGTGATATGTGGTAAGTCATAGGTCGGGTGGAGTACCCAAGGATCGGGCGGTTATCCTCAAAACTCGGTTATATAGGGTGGAGTACCCAAGGATCGGGCGGTATCCTCAAAACTCGGTTATATAGGGTGGAGTACCCAAGGATCGGGCGGTTATCCTCAAAACTCGGTTATATAGGGTGGAGTACCCAAGGATCGGGCGGTTATCCTCAAAACTCGGTTATAGGGTGGAGTACCCAAGGATCGGGTGTGTATCCTCAAAACTCATAGATTACATATAATGATCTAGGACCGGGCGGTGTCCTTATGATAATTTACTTGAACAAGGAGGAGTTCTATACACTCATAGGCATATGGGTGGGTTGGGGTTTTTAGTCAAGAATATTGACTATTACTATTTTTCCCAAATAAACTGGTGATCTACGGATCGGATATTTTTCCAAGTATATATATACTATTAAGTATTTCATAACTTGGGGGAAAGACTATTTATATAAGTATCACCCTATGTTTGGGTCTTATACTTGAAACGCTAGTTATTCTATATTTAGCCTGCTACTCGCTCGGTACTTGTACTGACCCCTTCGGGGGGCCCCACCATTTTCAGGTTGAAGCTAGGGCTTGCTACCTGCACCTCTCTTACGGGTGATATCGACTCAGGAAGACGTGGTTCGTGCTTCCTTATTTTCTTTCAAACTACCGAACACTTGCTCATGGATATTTGTTCTACTATAAACTATTTTTGGGGCTTGCATGCCCATGTTGTTGGCCGGTTGTGGCTTATGACTTACCGTTGAATATTTCCGCTATTCATTGGTGTAATGTGATGTTGTTATGTATGTTTACTACTGAGTATGGATGGATTATATTCTCGAACGCCTGGTGTAATTAAGTGAGGTTGACTCGCGGGTGACGTCACTTGGTTATACGGCGGTTGTACACGCGCTTGGATTGCGGTCTGGGGCGTGACACATCTCAATATGCTTGGTACGTTGATGTTGAACGGGGTTGGTGGAAAGATAGATGGCACTAATATTATCACAGTAGACAACCGAAGCCTTGGATAATGGATGATGGAGCTCAAGTAATAAATTACGAAGCCAACAAAGTTCTGCCACGGCATTAGCTACACTGCGGTATTCGGCCTCGGCACTCGATCGAGAGATGGTAGGTTGGCGTTTGGAAGACCATGACAGCAGAGTATCACCCAGAAAAATACAATAACCTGATGTTGAACGGCGGGTATCGGGACAGCCGCCCCAATCGGCATCGGAGTAGGCAGTCAAAGAGGTAGCCCGGGATGGAGAAATGTGAATGCCGAGAGAGAGAGTGCCCTTAATATAGCGAATAATACGTTTGAGTGCATGAAAATGTGGTTCCCTCGGGTCATGCATAAATAGACAAATTTGTTGAACCGCATATGAAATGTCCGGCCGAGTGAACGTGAGATATTGAAGCGCACCGGCCAAACTACGGTAAAGAGACGGGTCGGTGACAGGAGGACCCGTAAGAGAGCTGAGCTTCGCCTTGGTGTCTACCGGCGTGGCAGACGAATTACACGTTAGCATGCCAGCTCGAGCCAGGATCTCAGAAGCGTATTTTTGTTGTGACAAAAATAAGCCACCTGCATGAGGAGTAACCGAAATGCCAAGAAAAAAACTGAGGGGTCCGAGGTCCTTAATGGGAAATTCAGTAGCTAATTGAGATACTAGTTTATCAACTAAGCCCGGGGAGGAGGCAGTAAGCACAATATCGTCAACATAAAGGAGAAGGTAAGCCACCTCAGTGCCATGATGAAAGATAAATAAAGAGTGGTCAACCTTGCTGTGAATAAACCCAAGAGTAGAAGCATAAGTAGCAAACCGGTGATACCAGGCCCGAGGAGCCTGTTTAAGACCATATAAGGACTTTTTCAGGAGGCACACATGTGAGGGCCGCGAAGAATCCCGGAAGCCAGGTGGTTGGTGCATGTAAACAGTTTCAGCAAGATGTCCGTGAAGAAATGCATTGTTAACGTCCAATTGACGTATTGGCCATGAATGAGAGAGAGCCAAACTGAGAACCGTACGAATAGTGGCCGGTTTAACCACCGGGCTAAACGTTTCATCACAGTCAAGACCCACTTGTTGAGATTTGCCATTGACCACTAAGCGTGCTTTGTGTCGTTCAAGACTGCCGTCAGACCTGTATTTGTGCTTAAACAACCACATACAACGGATAATATTAGCATTAGTGGGACGAGGGACTAACTCCCAGGTCTTGTTATTAATAAGGGCCATATACTCGGATATCATGGCAGCCTTCCAGTTGGAATCTTGAAGAGCCGCTAGAGGGGATTTGGGTATAGGTGAGGGAATAATGGTGGCTGGGGTGTGGGCTAAAAGATTCAGGCGTTGGGGAGGACGAATTGTGCCAACTTTACTACGTGTGAGCATATGATGGTGTGAGGTGGTGACTGGGGCAGGAGGAGGATTATTTTGGTCTGGAGTGATGGTTGGTGGAGTTGTCATGGGGGGAGGCGTGGCAGTGGGATGAGTGGGAGGGGACATTAGGTGATGGGCAATGTATGGGTGCAGGGAGTCAGTAGCTTTATCAAAAGGGGTCAATTGGGAGGCAGATTTATGGTTTGCAAAAGGAAAAATATGTTCATCAAATGTTACGTGGCGTGATATGTGGATTGTGTGAGTGGTAAGGTCAAGACACTTGTACCCTTTGTGTTGAGATGGAAAACCAATAAAGACGCAAGGGAGAGACCGAGGTTGGAGTTTATGAGAAGTTGGTATTAATGGGTAACAAAGACACCCAAAAACCCGAAGGTGATTATACGTGGGTTGCCGGTGATATAATAGGGATGTGGGGGAACGAAAATGGAGAATTCGGGATGGGAGAATGTTATGAAGATACACCGCTTGGAGGACCGCATGCGGCCAATATTGTGGGGGGATAGAGGCGTGGAGAAGAAGAGTGCGGCTGATGTTATTAATGGTTCGTATTGTACGTTCAGATTTTCCGTTTTGAGGAGAAGTATATGGGCAAGAAAAACGAAAAATCATGCCATTATTAGCACAAAATTGGTGAAACTGAGAATTATTGTATTCTCGACCATTGTCACATTGTAGAGTTTTAATACATCGTCCAAATTGAGTGTGAATAAACGTATAAAATTGATGAAAAACAGAGAATACTTCAGATTTAGTACGGAGAGGATAAATCCATAAAAAATGTGTAAAGTCATCAAGGAACAATACATAATATCGGTGACCTGTGGAACTTACGATAGGGGAAGTCCAGACGTCACTGTGTATGATGTCAAAAGGAGCCGTGGTGTACGACAAAGAAGAACTAAATGGTAACTTTATTTGTTTGCCTAACTGACAAGAATGACATAAATTGTGACTAGAGGTATTATTACATGAGAGTAATTTATTTGTTCTAAGAGACTGAAAAATATGAGATCCAGGGTGCCCCAAACGGTTGTGCCACACGTCGGAAGCAACTGCACTGTATGCATGATGAGTGGGAGACTTGACAGGAGACACACAAAGAGGGTACAAGCCGCCTTGACTGTTACATCGCATTAGAGGAGCTCGGGTTCGAAGGTCCTTCACACAAAAACCATACGGGTCAAATTCTACAGATACAAAGTTATCAGTAGTAAATTGACGTACAGATATAAGGTTTTTAACAAGAGTGGGGGTGTGAAGAATAGGTGATAAAGTAAGAGGGGGTAATGGGTTGGGAAGAGTGGCCTGACCATGACCCAAAACTGGAAGAGTGTGACCATTACCAACCATGATACGAGGATAGGAACCTGTATTAATAAAAGACGAGAGAGTACCTGCATCCGACGTCATGTGTGTGGTTGCGCCGGTATCCATATACCAACCATCATCCGGTGGATTTAACGTGAGAGTCTGCATGGCCGAAGGAAGAGAGGTACTGCCAAAAGAGTATTCTGGGGTAGCCATGTGAGCATGTTGTGGACGAGGTCCAAGGATTCCGGCCGATGGGTTGCGAGGTGCTGGAGAGAAACCCGGTGCCGTAGGGTATGGGCACGGAGGCATCTGCCAGGACATCCAAGGATTCCAAGGAGACTGGAACCAAGGAAGAGGAGACCCAGGTGACCAAGGCTGAGGAGGTGACGGTATAGGGGAAGAACCATTGGAAGAGCGACCACGTCCACGGCCGCCGCCACCCCGAGTGCGGCCAGAGCGGCCACCACCCCGAGGGCGAGAACTGTACGACGGAGCTGGGGTGACTGTGGAAGCAGTCGGGGCCGCCGGAGTCGCAACTAATGCAGTGGTGGGGGTATCAACATGTTGGGCCCGGCGAGATTCGTCCAGAGTGAGCATGGAGCGGGCAGTGAAAAAGGACGGTAATGGAACCTGTTGTTGAATAAATGACGCCACAGATTCAAATTGGCCGTTGAGACCGTTGACTAGGCGCAGCACTAGACGCCGGTTATCCACCGGAGCACCTACATTAGCCAGATCATCGGAGAGAGTTTTCAGGGTCCGACAGTAAGCATCAATGGACGAGAATTGATCCAGTCGAGTATTGGAGAACTGGTTTTCAAGGTGGATCGCCCGGGTGTGTTTGTTGTCGAGGAAGATGTCCGTAAGACGGTCCCATGCCGCCTTAGCCGTAGAGTTTGGTTGAATGATGGTGTGCAGCAAGTCGTTTGAGATTGACCCGTATATCCATTGAAGGACCATGGCATCGAGGCGAGTCCACAGTGCTGGGTCGTCGGCAGAAGCAGAGGAGTCGGAGGTTGAAGATGATGCTGCGGATGGAGTATCAACAGAGGGTGGGAGGATGTGATCAATGACCTGATATGTACGTGCTGTGATTTTGAACAGCTCAGACCATGTAGAGTACTGGGCGTGTTCACTATCTAGGGTAATTGGAATAAGGTTCTTGATATTAGTGACGGCAAGAGCTGGGTGAAAATGAGATTTGGAAGGGGAAGACATGGTGATGGGAGGAAGAGGGGATCGCTTGGAGTCTGATACCAAGTTAGATGGTGTAAATTCACCGTGTCAAATCTGTATTCACGTTGGCTTTAAATAGCCATGCTTACAATAGGTTACAACAATTGTGATCCGTATAGTTCGGTAACTAATAACCGTATACATGAGGATAAATATGAATGATATTAACTAGGTACAATGTATGTGCAGATAAGTGTAATGGAGCCGTGTATACTGCATATGTCCAACTAATCATGCGTAGAGTATGGGATACTCTAACAGTCATCATTCCCCGGCTTCGGTGGAGGTGGAAGGCCAAACGGGAGCTCCTCTGCAGAGGAAAGAATTGAAGGTGCCAGTAAGAATGAACACCTACTGACCAGATGCGAGGAAAGAAGATGAACACTTACAGAGGAAACGAAGTGGAGTTGAGAGGAAGTGAAGGAAAAACAAATGCGGATGGGAAAGAAATAGAAAAAGAAAGAGGAATATTTTTCTAAAAGACATATCACATGCCACGTGAGCATTTTACCGGGAGCTCGAAGTTCACCGGCTAAAAATCCAATTTGAGAAATTTTTATTGGTTCGTGGGTGTAATTGAATGTTCTTTTGGTTGAAGGGTTTAATTGACTTTTTTGAAGTAGTAGAGGGGCTCATTTGACAGTTTTCCCAAACAATTTTTTATTGGGATCGACTAATATAAACCATAAGGCACTTAAATGGCCGTTTCTGGAGACAACCTTTATGTTTGACAAAAGAGTTCTTTTTATACTGTGATCACTCATCAGGGAAAGACGTAAAGTATGTTACAAAAGATTGAATCCCCAATGTCAAGTGCCCCCACGCCGATCCGATAAAACATTTAAGAGATTGCAAGTCATGACGACTTAGTCAACATAATGACAATGATAAAAACATTGCATTCGTGTGCACGAGAAGTCTAATCTAGCCCACGTGACCTAATGACCTAACTTCCATAGGTCATTAGGTACACTATGGTGAGGAAAACTGTTTATATGATTGGTAGATCAATCTAGCTTGGGGTACACATTTTCATACACACACACACACACTCATGTTTGTAAAGAGTATTTTTTTGTCTGTATACAGACATAACACATTTTCAAATACGTTATGTCGGTATACAGACAAAAAAATACTCTTCACAAACATAAGTGTGTAGATGTGTGTATGAAAAATGTGTACCAATAGATTGTTTGTTGGTAGATGGAGAAGGAAAAGTGAAGTAGAAAAAAGTACTCCCTCTGTCCCTAAAAGAAGTTCTATTTCACTATTCCTTGGTCAACTTAAATCACTCTTAATCTCTTACTTTTTATATCAAAATTTTATAAAAGTTGAATTATTTTTTGCAGGCTTTGTAGCGGGTTTAATGTAGTTTCTGAATATGTAAATTTTATTTACTAAAAATAATCCGAATTTTCACAGGCATCATTTAACTTTATCGTCGGTCAACCTCGTAATCCGCATTGGAACAAAATTCAGGGACGGAGGTAGTAAGAAACTCACGGAATATCCAGAAAGGCCAGCGGGGTCAATGAAGGCAGCAGTGTGGATGACGCCACGACAGCCATCGAAAGCATCTGATATGCTCTCCACGTCACTCAATCGCGCCATCACTGCCTCTGCCACGTTGCTGCCATTACATCCCCTCATTTCACCAGACGCTTCCATCTCCCTCAGCTTTTCCAGATCCTCTACAATCACATTATATGAGTAGTTAGTTAGTTAGTTGTGCACCTTTAATTGCCAATCCCGAACAGTTTGTTTTCTATAAAAAATTCGCCCAACTAGAACAACATTAAATTAATTTAATAAATAAAATATAAAAGCTCATGAGATCCTTTCTTGACGACTGGAATAAAGGAGCAAATGTGATTCTTTCTTGATGATTGGAATAAAGGAGCACATGTGAATATGTGATGCACATTGAAATAATAGATACTCTCTCCGTCCCAAAAATAAGTTCCAACTTTCATTTTCGGGATGTCCCAACAAATTCCACCTTACCTTATTTGACAAACAAATTTACACCAAAACAGTGTCACAACGGTGTACTATATAATAAAATATATTCCTAAGTAAATTTATTTCTTAATATACGTGAATTTTCACCCAGAACTTGTTTGCGGGACGGAGAGAGTATTTGGGAAAATTTACATAATTAATGTACATGTAACCTTCTTTAGATGAATAGCTGACTTTGGGTGAATGCAAAATTAATCAGATGATTTAAAATTTTACCAATTGTAGGTGTCTGGGTTCATCCCTTATGCCAACTTTACTCATTCCAATTTTGTCTTCTTCATTTTAAAATATTTATTTTTATGATTATTTTACATTCTTTGGTTGTTCATTCAGTTAGCATGCTTATAATTGAGCTTAAGTAAATCATTCCACGAAAGCTTTTCTTTTTAAAAAATTAATACATATATTCATCCGCATAACTTTAGCAGAAGAATCTAAATAAGAACCGAGTATAAAAGATGGAATAACACACTTGGATGTTTTCTTTTGGAATGAAATTTAGGCCTGGGATCGGTTCGGTTCTTGTTAAAATTCGATGGAACCGTATAAAAATCGTAGGCGTTAAATTCGGTTCGGTTCTAGTTAAAAATGTAGTTGTTAAATTCGGTTCGGTTTTAGTTAAATTCGGTTCGGTTCGGTTCTTTTTTCGGTTCCTAACAAAAATTTACTATCCTCCTGAAATGAACACACTTCAGTTACATAAAAAAAATTCAAATATTAAATCACGAAATTAAGACCATTACATTATAAATGCATGATATCTGAATGTTCAAAAATCCAAAGACATATCCAAGTACAACATTAAATTTAAACATAACAAAAATCTCGATTTAAAATAGGCATCAACTGTCAAGCAAAAATGTTCAATAGCCCCAGAGTACACATCCAATAGCAGGTAGTTCAACCCCAAAATAATATTCTACTTCTAGTAATGCACAATAAGTAAAAACTACGTAGTAATAAACAACGTAATCAACGGAATGTTAATTCTTTTTTGTAGTGAACTCCAATAACAAATTCAATTACAAACAAAACATATATATATATAAATGGACTAAAGTATTAAAATGATAACTACTCGGATTGGCATGGTCCACAATATATAAGGTATATTATGCAAGAATAATATTTTTGACAAGAACTTTTTGCCCGAAAGGCCGTCTGACCGCCTTCATTTGAGGTACTTCCGTGAAGTTTTTTTTGATAAAGTTTTGTGAACATGTTCTACATGAAATGTAGATTACATATACCAAATTGCAACTTAAAATTCAATCGGGAAGTGAGTTAAATAAAATATTGAAAAAATTGCGTTTTTTCATATATTTTGGCGTAATGTTTTTCAATAATTTATTTAACTAACTTCCCGATTGCATTTTAAGCTCAAATTTGGTGGATATAATCTTTATTTAATAGAAAACAACCTCACAAAATTTCATCGAAAAATTCCACTCGGAAACACCTCAAATGAAGACTACTCATGCAGTGTATGAGAAGTTCGGTTCCTGGCCAGGAACCGGAACCGAACTGGAACCGAACCGGAACCGAACCGATGAAAGACTATAGGAACCGAACCGAAAAAAAGTGAAGTCCAAAATTATAGGAACCGAACCGAACCGGAAATTTCGGTTCGGTTCGGATCGGTTTTCCCGGTTTTCGGTTCGGATCGGTTTTCCCGGTTTTCGGTTCTAAGTCCCAGCCCTACTGAAATTTGATGGTCTGGTCTGGTCTGAACTGGTTTGGTAAACGTCTGGTCCCTGTGTTTTTTATAACTACAGAAGCCAAGTCTGATCTAGTCTGGGACCGAAAACAGTTCAAAAGAAAATATCCTTACACACCACCATATCACTACTTTATGAAATTATTACACACCTCAATCCATAAGTATTCCATGCAATTTACTTTTGTTCCTTTCTTTTAGGTTCCGATTTCTTTTTTATACTTGTAATCAGAATTAAAAATTACGTAGTAATAAAGAGATTCGAGAGAGATTCGAAATGGAAATAATGACATCTAGTTCTATGACACAAGAGTATGACTAGCTATGTTTTTTGAACAAAATTGTGATTAATCACTGTACGAATAATTTGACAAAAGTCAGTATAGTGTATTTTGAAGTGACATGTGACTTGTAGATGATGAGTTACTGAAAACTAATCACTAAATATGTCATTTTTTTTAGACTTTTTAAAATAAATCTTGTTTTTGTAATACTCCGTACTACATAATATTCATGCAAAAAGGCTTTTGAAATGGAACACTTAATTTGTAGCAATTACTTTCTATCCGGGGAAAGAGAAGAAAATGGCAACTGTTCCGATTGATCTAAACAATTTAAGGATAAATCAGAAGTTTCAACTATTTTAAGAGTTAAGACCGTCGTTAATAAGAATGATGTTCCTTATTCAATACGGAGTAGAAGCTACCAGAATTGCCAGAAGTTGACCACTCTAGATTAATACCTAGTACTACTACCGTCCCACTATGTTTGAGACAAAGATGCGTGACACAACTTTTAAGAAAAAGTGAAATTGTGTAGTTGATATTGAATTGATAAAGAGTGAATAAAGTAAGAATGAATTGTAACAACTCAAATATTACCAAATATAGTATGAGACAAACATAATGGGACGGACGAAAAAGGTAAAACGAGACAAAGTTAGCTGGACGGAGGGAGTATTATCCAATATTGGTTTCGTACAGGTATCAAACAAAGTAATTCCCAAAAACAGCTAATAAGTCACCAAACTCAAAGGCTAAAATACTTCTTAAGGAGGTATTGGTGGTCCCTTAAATAAGTCATTCTACCTATTTACTTTAAAAGTCTTAATGATTTGTAATTAAGGAGAATATTTTAAAAACCTTTCGAATCTGATTAAATTAACATATCAATTTTAGGAGTTCAGAAAATTGTCAATTTGATAATTGTACTATCACAACAATTAAATCCTCCCACTTTTAAAACTATCAACTAAATCCCTAAACTTTGTAAGAACGTTCAATTGATTTCATTAACAGGTTACCCTTCACATTAGCAAGTCACTTGCTGACGTGGTACATATGTGGCAGCCTAGTCAACAATGAGTTGTCGATGTGGTGCCCATGTGGAAACTCTGTCAATCACTTACAGATGACATGACACACACATGGACCACCATGTGCGTCACGTCAGCGGGTGATCTGCTGATATAGAAAATAACATGTTAATTGACTCAATTAAACGTTTTTCCAAAGTTTAGATATTTGATTTATTTATTTAAACATGCAGATTTAATTGACTTTTTGATAATAATACGAATAGCAAATTGACAGCTTTAATTTCGTGTACGAGTTTTGAACTGGTTTTTCATTAACTATGAATAACACTTTCATTAAAATATTAAATACACACCATCTATAAGTCTCCGAGTCCACGAATTGCACATCCATCACTCTCAATCAAAATGGTCACATATGAGATTATATTTCAAAATTAATGAAAAAATGTTGATTACTCCCTCCGTCCATAATTATCTTTCAAATATGTTTGGCACACAGTTTAAGATAGTGAGTATTGTGTGGTGGAGAGTTGTGCAGAGGAGAGAGAAATGTGTAAGAAATGTTGTGAACCACAAATTCTTTGCTAAAAAGGAAAAGTGAAAGTTTTAATTGGGACGGACGAAAAAAGAAAGTTGGAAGTTTATTTAGGGACGGAGGTAGTATATGATTCTTCTCACATAAAGTGACAAGTGACTGCTTGTGTATCGTTTTAAGTTTCAACCATCCCTTAACCCATACTCCCTCTGTCTTATTTGAATGTAAAAATGAAATCTAAATCACACATTTTTTTTTGCGAAATAAATCACACAATTTTAACTTTTCTTATTCACGCTCAAATCAAAGTAATTAATGTCCAGTGAGAAGGAATAATGTAATACTTTTCTTGTCCTACATATTAAAAGGAAGTACGAAATAAGTTTCTAATAATTCGATTTTAAATGATAATGTAAATATCTATGATTTAGATTGGACTCAAACATGTCACATTCACTCTACAAGTCACTTTATAACATCAATGCCACATGATCGTAAGAGCATCTCCAATGGGAGGGTGCATTGCAACTGATGTGGCATAGGAGAGAGATAGAGATAGAATAACTATTTGGATGAAGTGGTGTGTAGGGAAAAATAAAAAAGATGAGAGAGATAGAGGTAAAAATAGACCAAGGTCTATGACAAGGTCCATATATGGACCTTATTCGGGATTCAAGGAGGAAAAATTGATGAAAAGTGAGTTAAAAGTGATATAAAAAAATGAAAATGAAAATAAATCAGGAAATACGTGGGTCCTACACATAAAAATTAGGATATAAAAAATGGGACCCATGCGTAAGGGTGTGTAAGAGACCACACTCTTGCATTGGAGTTGCTCGAGCATCTCCAATAGGAGGGTGCATTGCAGTTGATGTGGCATAGGAGAGATATATAGATAGAATAAATATTTGGATGGAGTGGTGTGGAGAGAAAAATGAAAAAAATGAGAGGGATAGAGGTAAAAATGGACAAAGTTCTATGACAAGTCCATATATGGACCTTACACGGGATTCGAGGAGGAAAAGTTGATGAAAAATGGATTAAAAATGATATAAGAAAATGAAAATGAAAATAAATTAGGAATTATGTGGGTCTTACACATAAAAATTGTGAGACAAAAAATGGGACTCATGCATAAGGTGTTTGACGGTTCAAAACGACTTTTGATGTAGGTTTATATTTACAGTACTAATTTACATGGCATTGTAGTTTCGTTGGGTACCTATCTTTCAGGAAATTGTGGGAAGAGAATGGGGTTTCGACCCCAGAGCCGAACGAGTCGAGCCGATCTCAAAATCCCAGAGCTCGAGCTCGACTCGATTCGGTAATTGGGGTGTTCGGGTTCGAGCTCAAAACTGGGCGAGCTTTAAAAACGAGGCTCATGTTCAGCTCAATAAACATTCGATATTCGAACCGAGTGCTCGATAAGCTCGATAAATATGCTCAAATTTAAAATTTTAGGTGATGCTCGTTAATAGGCTCACATTTGAATTATTCAACAAGTATTCGTTTCGTTAATATTCATATTTAAATTCATAAAATCATACTCCGTACTAATTATATTTAAATTTTGATACAAATAAATTATATTTATAATTTCAGAGTGTACGATAGGCTCTAGTTCGAACCGAACCGAATACTACTATGTCCGAACTTAAAACTCAGCTAGGATTCGAGTTTAAAAGTTCGGTTTGTTGCGTTCGGAACAAAGCTCGAACTCGAATAATTCGATAAAAACTCGGTTTTTAACCGCCCAAGTTAAACGTATTGATATTGATATAATCCGTATAGAGGTAATAGGTTGCGTTGTACTAGGTATTTCTTAATTTTGAGTTACAATTAGTACTGGAAATTGTACAAAACGAAACCTGTATTTTTTCTTTAATACTATCGTAAAACATTAAAAAGTGACAGCTGGGAAGGTAGGTACGTACCTTGGTTGTGGACGAGGATACGAACAGAGTAGCCTCGAAGTAGGAGTTGGTTCACAATTGCGATTCCGAGGAAGGAAACGCCTACGGTGACGCATACTAGTTTGTCGTTTTCCTCCGGCGGCAAAACCGGCCCGGATAGCTTGAGCGATTCGCGGTCCTTACTCCGGCCGGTGCCGGCGCAGGAGAGGAGCATTCGTCGGAGCTCCTCCATCTCCATCTTCTGGCTCTCATCCGTTCTCACGATTCCCATTCCCGTTGCTGCCGCTTTGTTTTCTGTCGGATGCTCTTTCTTGTACGAAGTTGTTTTTTTATTACACTCCGTATATACTTATACTCCTGCCGCCCAATCGCTTATCCACTAATCGCAACCCAGCCCGTCAATAAATCTAATCTCACACCACTTTATACGTATTCATTCAGTCAATTCAGTTTTTCTCTGCAACCCAGCACCGTCAATATATCCACTCAGCACATTTTTTTTAAGTAAATGCATATATAAATCCTTACATTTTTCTATTATACATCACTAATGTGATAATTTTATTTTTACCAATAATTATTATTCAAAAAGTCAAACATTCCGATGTAAAAAAATAAAAAAATGGGAATTATTTTTTTTGTAAGTATAAAAAAATGCCCACTTGAGTTTAATTTGAAATAAATTTAAAACTATTGAATATATTATTGCTATATTATTAATTTATCATTTCATATACTATTACTAGGTGAATATAAATTAATTGATTAATAATATTGATATATCATTAATTTTAGAACTTATATATGCTTACGATAAAATTAGGCCTGAAAATCTCTCCATCAGACAAAACTTCATATTTTTTTATAACACTTTATGTATGAAATATTGATGTCATATGAAATGTCATAAAAATTATGAATTTTGATATTTTTTTTATAAAAATTGAATTTCAAATAAAAAAGTTACACCATTTTTTACAAGATTAGAATTTTAATTTAATGTGGACCCCTCACATTTTCCTAATTTAATGTGGACCCCTCACATTTTCCTAACCTTGCGGCTTGCTCCCCTCCTCTCTCTCTTGGGGCGATCCACCGTCTATATTCCCCTCCCAATAGGTTCTCCCAATTCACAATGGCTCCCCACTCTAATTTTTTTGTTTGGGTTGCACCATTTTTGGAGTCAAAACTTCACATATGAGTTTTTCACCCCTTGCATTGCGGGTACCCTAAGAGCAACTCCAATGTAATGCAAGAGTGTGGTCTCTTACACACCCTTACGCATGAGTCCCATTTTTTATCTCACAATTTTTATGTGTAGGATCCACATATTTCCTAATTTATTTACATTTCCATTTTTTATATCACTTTTAACCCACTTTTCATCAACTTTTCCTCCTCGAATCCCGTGTAAGGTCCATATATGGACCTTGTCATATAGACCTTGGTCCATTTTTACCTCTATCTCTATCCTCTTTTTCATTTTTCCCTACATACCACTTCATCCAAATATTTATTTTATCTCCTATGCCACATCAGCTGCAATGCACCCTCCCATTGGAGATGCTCTAAGAACTTTTCTATTTTACTACTCCTTAACTCATGCCTTGCACAGAGCTAAACTAAACTATCTCCGTCCCGTTGGAACTTGGAAGGTTCCCATACAAAACGACAGAATTATTCAGGCATTAATTAAATAAAGTACTTTGAATATATTTTGAGAAAATTATTTTCATAGGTATATATTATAATGTAGTTAGTATTGATAACTGTGATGTTATAAATGTATTATTTTTAATATTTAATGATTAATTTTCCACTTAAAATCGTTAATTCTTTTATAAAATGGAAATGAGAACCTTTATATGGGACGTCCAAAAAAGAAAAGTAGAAATCTTCTAATGGGATGAAGGGAGTAAAAATTAAAATTTGAGACACAGGAAGTACAAAGTATTATTCATGTTATTTATTATGGGTGATAAAAACTGAATCGAAACCCGATAACCGATCCTGACCCGACCGGAATTATGTTCTTGGTTCGGGTTTTTTCTTCTTAAACGATCCGAATAAAAACCCCGGACTGAAGCCGAAAATTCGGGCTCATTTACATGTCTTCTAAAGTCCTAAAATCTATAACCCGGCCTGGACCGATAAAAATCTAAAACAATTCATTTTGATATAAAATCAATATAATATATGAATCTAATTTATAAAAAATTCCTAGGGTCTGTTTGCAACAGCTTCTGCTTTTAAAAAAGTGCCTTTTTTAATGAAATGGGGAGAAGTGATTAAATAAAAGTTGATAGTGTTTGAGAAAAAAGTGATTTTGAAAAGTAAAAGTGGGTAGTGTTTGGTAAAACAAGTGCTTTTTGTGTAATAGAAAAAGTAAAAGCACTTTTGACGCGGAAGCCGAGAAAAATAAAAGTTGTAATGTTTGGAAAAATAAGTGCTTTTTTAAAGCCAAAAGCTGAGAAGTGCTTTTTGAAAAGGAGTTGTAAACCAACCCTAATATACTTTTATAATCATGGTGGATGAAAACGACTTAATAACTTTTAGTGAAATCAAACATGTTCAATTTTGCATACGGTAATCAGGGGCGGAGGGAGGGGTGGCCTGGCTGGGCCATGGCACAGGGCATTTTTTATTTATTTTTGTATTATTATTAGGGGAATTCTATATACAGCCACAAAATTGCTATCCACAGTCATTTAATTAAATTTTAATAATTAAAAATATTTCAAATGTCCAATTTATCCTTGAAACATATCACCATCCCTTCCTAAATTCAAACTGCATTTGTCGAGGCCATTGCTTTATCAATGTCGAATCCTAAACGTATTGAGAGGGCCCTTCTTCTAAAGATTAATCAGATTTGGAGTGTAACTGGAGCTATTGAAGTAGTGAAGTAGTCCAACATTTCTTGAATCGAATATGAAGCGGAGTTAATGGCGGCTTATTGTTTCTTCGAAATTAAAACAAAGGTTTATAATTCGATTGTTTGCGAAATCGATCCCACTAGCAGTTCGCCGGAGATGAAAGGAAACCGCGCGATACGTTGTTCTCCTCCGTGTACGACCCAGACAGACCGGACGGTCCAATAGCTCTGCTCCATCTTTCCGACGAAGGTTTCCTGGCAAAACAGTGACAGAGCAAGAGTCCATTCTTCCACCCTCCAATTGCGTTGCTACAATTTTCCTCCGGTCATGAACCAGTCCAGAGACTCTGCCGCGATGATACCTTTTCTTCTGGCAATGGCGTCGTCTTCAACTCTTTACTGTAGGAGGTCTGGAATCCGGAAGTGTACTCTAGCTTAGGTCGGTGTTCAATGGTTGTATTTGTGAAGGGGCAAAATAGATATTTACAAATCAATTATTTAATTAATTACTTTATAAGTGGCTGCGGTTAGCCATTTTGTGGCTGCATAAAGAACCACCCTTATTATTATATATATTTTTAATTGTTTTTTGGGAATTGGGCTAGTGCAAAAATAAGACTGGCCCAATGTAGAGCCTTTGTGGCCCAGTGTAGAAAAACAGTTCGGTGCTAATCCAAAGAAAATAGGAAAAATTGAAAATAATAATCCCAATTATGCTGGTCCGCTGAAAATAATCCCAACTATTGATTATTTTTGTATAATCCCAACTATATAGACTATCCGCCAATAATGGTCCATGACCATATATTACCTCTATAAAAAGTAAATTTTAAATAGAAATTAAGCGTAAAAATTAAAAGTTGAGATTATTTATAGGGATTACTTGTTATGTCTTATTTCATCCACTTTAGAAACTACAAGAATTTATTCATAGGGACCATTATTGGCGGAAGGTCCCTAAAGTTGGGATTATTCTGTAATAATCAATATTGGACGCATCAAAACTACAAGAATTTATTCATAGGGACCATTACATGACATTGATAGAATAAGCGCAGCAGTCAATCAACATTGGACGCATCACGCACCTGAGTGACCTGACGCACGCCTCAGTCGTCGATTCGCCAGTGATAAGGTAACGATAGAAGTCCAGTAGCTAACGGAGTATATTAATGAAGTTTTAAAGCTGGAATACAGAAAAAACGTTTGAGACTCTTTGAGTGGTCTCACACTCCCAAGTTCCCAGTCCCGATCCCAAAATTGCCTGCGTTATTCTTCCCCCCCTACCCCCTTTTATAATAAAACTCTCTAAAAGGGCCAGCCCTCACTTAAGCTATTGGGCCTAGAACCCTATTATTGGAAAACATTAAAATACTTAATAAGACTCTAATTATTTGTAGTACCCGGGTCCCTATCATCACTCCCCCCTGAACTTCCACCTTGTCCTCAAGGTGGATGATAAGAGACTGATTTTCCATTGGGTTTCAGCAGGTTTTCAGCTTCATCCCTTTCATATAACTGATCTTCTGTTCCCTTCTCTTCTTCTGGCTCTTCCATCCAGATAAGTTGATAATTTTTCATTCCACATACATGCTCTTTGCCCCATTTATTTCCACATTTGAAACATAGGCCCTTCTTGCTTCTTTCTTCTAAGTCCGCTTGTGTCAACCTTTGGCCACTCTCCCATGTCTTATTTGGTTTTGGCGATTCCTCCAGTTTGTTCTCTGAGAGTGTTCTCTCCGGAGCAGTTGTTCTTCCCTTTGTCGCTTCCACCCAATTCCAGGCTTTGACAAGTTTTCCTCCATGTTCCTTCAAGCCTTTGTTGTCTTCTTCTTTATTTGTTTCTCCCGTCCATACCTTGTTCTTCTGTTCAACTAGCTGGGCTGTGTCCATAAGATCAGTTAACCCAGTGGGCCGGTGCAACTTCAGCTCTGAGCTAATTTCTTCTTTGAGGCCATTCAAAAAAATACTCCTTTTAGCATCTCTGGGTCAGCAATTTTGAGGGGAGCTACAACCCTTTCAAAATGATCCCTGTACTCCATGACTGAATTAGTTTGCTTAATTTTGAGCATAGGGCCAAACGGGTTCTGAACCAATTCCGGCTGGAAGCGTCTGATCAAAGCTTCCTTAAAATTACCCCAGGAGTGGTCATCAGTCTGTTCATCCCACCATTGATACCAGTTCAGAGCCCTTTCGGTCATGGCTATCAGGACAACTTCCACTTTGTCACCCTCCGATACATGATTTAATTTAAAATAGCGTTCAACCCTGAGAAGCCAACCGTAAGCATCGTTTCCACTAAACAAAGGTAAATCCACCTTTCTTCCGGTATAAACCCGATCGTTAATTCTCGTATGCTCAGGAGTACGAGAAACGGATTTAGAATCATGAGAATTACCTCCTGAACTGGACGAACTCACACTGGCAGAAGTCTGGCGCCGGCGAGGGGTGGCCGATCGTCCTCTTCTTTTCCTGC